AAGGCTTTGCCCAGGTCCAGGTAAATGGTGTCAGTCGCTCGTCCCTCATCTATTGATGTTGTGACCTTCTCATAGAAGGCCACCAGGTTTGTCAGGCATGATTTGCCCTTGGTGAAGCCACGTTGATTATGCCCAAACACCTCTTCGTTATTCTTGTGTCTCAGCAGTGACTTCAGGAGGATCTGCTCCATGATCTTTCCAGGCACAGAGGTGAGACTGACTGGTCTATAGTTTTCCCTGGTTCTTCCTTCTTACCCTTTTTGAAAATGGGGGTTATGTTTCCCCTTTTCCAGTCAGAGGGTACTTCACCAGACTGCCATAACTTTTGGAATATAATAGAGAGGGGTTTAGCAACCTCATCTGCCAGCTCTCTCAGTACCCGTGGGTGTATCCCATCGTGTCCCATGGACTTGAACACTTTCAGGTTCATCGGGTGGTCTCAAACCTGATCTTCACTTACAGTGGGCAGCTCTTCCTTCAAGACCGTGTCATTGTCTTCTGTAACTCTGGGAGTGTGGTTGGAGCCCTTGCCAGTGAAGACTGAGGTGAAGAAGTCATTGAGAACTTCAGCCTTCTGCACGTCACTTGTAACCAGCTCACCCATTTCCTTTCTAAGGAGGCCCACAGCTTCCCTAGTCTTCCTTTTACCATTAATGTACCTGTACATTCTACTGTACTAATACACCAGGGCAGAGTAGAAGGGGAGGAGGATGTCCCTTGTTCTGCTGGACACACTTTTCTTAATGCACCTGAGGATACCCTTGGCCTTCCTGGCCACAAGGTCACACTGCTGTCCCATGGACAACTTGTCCACCAGGACTCCAAGGTCCCTCTCCACAGGGCACTCTGTAGCAGTTTGCCTCCTAACCTGTACTGGTGCATTTACTCCTCCCCAGGTGGAGGACTTTGCACTTATTCTTGTTGAACCTCATTAGAGTAATACTTGACTTGAAACCATTTAAGGTTGAATAGCTGTGTTTAAAGCTGTTTAAACAGTTAATAAAAATTTTCACAAAAATGTAAGCAGAACCCGCAAGATATGCACAGACAATTTGATTCCCAGTAGCTTAATTCAGAGAAAAACAGGCCTTGGGATCATTGCTAATCATAATTTGGGGTCCATTCCTAGGTTACAATCCACAAGTTCTATTCACTACATTAATTTGTTATGAGATGATGAGACTCTTACCAGTTGATACAGATTTAATAGCTTATTTCACCTTGCAACAACTTTAGGTATCTGGTCAGTAATGTTGTTTAGTAAAAGGAGATTCAAACTCTTGATGTTAACACTGTTTAGACTTTGGTAATAAAAAAGTTATTTGAGGAGTTTCATACTTCAGTCCTTGAATTTGACTGACAGATATCACTGATTTGGGTGGTAAAGCATCAGATAAGACAACAGATACTTCTACTCAGGCAAAAATGCTCTTTCTCAGACATTCACAAAGCAAAGTTATGGTCAGCAAGATCTAAAAGGAATGAAAAAATAATTTAAACTTTCATTTGAATAGAATTTTTTTAACAGGTTGTAGTGATTACATAATATTAAGGAAACTATTAGTTTATTTTATTGGGAAATGTGTGCATGTTTGAGTTTGACCCTTCAGAGCTCCAGAGTTTGGTTGGATAATTATACCTAGCTTCAGATGCTGCCATTACAGCATCATGTGATAGCTGAGAGTAAACTTATACATTGTTGTTTCAGTACATCTACTTAGAGTTAACACACTGCTTGCACTGTGAGTCAGGCTCCTTCCTAATATGGCAGCTTCAGACAAAGATCTGAAGCAAAAGAAGTTTTTGTTTCAGTGCTCATCTGTTGCTTGAACAGTGAGGATTGTCAACAAAACTAGCAATAAGTAGTGGTAGTATGCATTAGTTACGGTATTCATACAGATTAATAAACCTGCTTGAGATGGAATGACACCCGTAGTTTATTTCACACATGCAGTTATTTATATAGTGTCCTAAATTTTAGCCACTTCTGACCTAAGAAGCTGTATTTTCACTGGCAGTTTGAAGAGCTGCATTGACCTCCTAGTACTCGGGCTTACCCAATGCTGAGTGATCAGTCCTGTGGGTTTATTTTAAGGGATGTTGTGGCCAAGTAGCTACTTAGAAACATGCTTGCCAGAACACTGAAGGACATTTTGATGTGATTCTCTAGACCAAGAGATCAGATGAGTTACAGGAGACATAGTTTTCCATGTTTCCCATCCTTAGTGCAGCAGACAGGAATCTTTTTTGATTTTTTCATGATTAAAAAAACCACAACAAACAAAACAACAACAACAACAACAACAACAAAAACCCAACCAAACAAACAAAACAAAAGCAAAACAAAAAAAACCAACAACAAACCCAAAAAACCCTTACCCAGTGGATGGCATTCTTCAAGAGACAGAAACCTAGAGTAAGGATTTCAGAAATCTTAATTGGAATGGATGCAAAAACTGTTGCATACATCATGATTCCTCAAGGCAAAACTTGATTGCAGAAGTTTCAGTTATGCTTTCCTGTGTAGATGCAGACCTTCTTTGGGTAAATGTGAAACTAAATCTTCCCACAGTGTTGGAGAATCTTTGGGAACCGGTAGAACAGACAATTATACTGGGTTTCTGTTCAGAAAAAAAAAAAAAAAAAGAGACAAATGGAGATGTGTTTAATCCAGTTTCTGCTGTACTAGCCAGAAAAGCAAGTTCTACCTTGTTAATAAGGGCAGGATGCTAGACCTATCAAATTGATTTGGTTCAAAAACTTCAACAGATTTAAAGGGTGGAGGGAAAACACTGGGACTATAAGGTGCCTAGGGTATGTGTTCATTGTACCAGTATATGCTGCATCAAGCTTCTGTTTTAATCTTTTTGAAAGTTAACTGTAGTCTCAATGGACAGGAATGCAGAGTAAATCTGTGGGTTTATATAGCCTTACACTTACCCTGTGGATTTTGCAATCATGTATATAAATGGAAAATAAGTCTAATCTGTTGTCTCTCTTGGCTTATGTACCGATGAGCAGAAACGTGCTGCAGTACTGAAGGACAGATCTTATAAAGCTATATATATGTGATTTGAATGGCATGCAGTAGGATTGTTTGCTTTTAAAATTAAAGAATATTAAATTAGTGAAGGTGGAGGTCTAGGACCTAATTTTATCTGATCTCAGGGGAACACAGTTTTCAATTTGTTTTTCTCTTTTTTCAATGCAAGAAAGTATTCTGTGATAATATATAGTGTTTGAAATTCAAGCAGGAGTAGCTTTCTAAAGAAAATGACAGCTGAAATTAAAAAAAAAACCCACAACCCTAGTTTATTATTTATCTTCTTGTGTGTGTATGTAAAAGAATAAATGTTTCACTTTAACACTGTTAAATAATGATGCTTTCCTTTTCTTTTGTAGGTTGTCTTAGTCTTCGCTCTTAGTATTGGTGCTCTTGTAATATACTTCATCGATTCATCAAAGTGAGTATTCTAGTACATTTGCCTTTCCCTTCTTTCCTGCAGCAATTATAAAGTTAAAACTGCTCTATTCATCTATTTCAGATTAGTGTTTGGTCTCATCGCCTGAGTGCAAAGCACTTTATAATAGTGCATGCTTTCCAAAAATAACTCAAGCACAGAAAAAAGTTCTATAAACTAGAAACACATGTGAAGACAGAACAGAAACAATGTGAATACAGTCAGATTGGATCTACAGAATGGAGAGAAAAACTACTTTCATGTGTTGAGATTATACATACTGTTGCAAAAGTATATATTTTTTTAATGTCATTTGGCATATGTTGAATTTTTCAAATTCAAGGCTAGGATAAGAAATACAGAGGAAGATTATTTGCCAAAACATTACAGTTTGCAGAAGAAAAAAGAAGAGTCTTGGGAGACTGACGGAAACACTTCTGAAAAACTCTGAATGAATTAGACAGTATGAAATTTTTATCTTGCATATATGTTCAGATTTCCAGCTCCTGGGTTTGATAGATTCCTCCCAAGATAAGATGAGCCAGTAAAAATCTGCAAAGCTTCATTCACACCAACATGATCATATAGTGGTGTAGTTTTGTCCAAAACAAATTTTCATCCTAACAAAGTGTCAGCCTAACATGGAAGAAACCAATAAAAAGGGTCTTTATGGAATATTATTCTGTTGTATCCAGTTATTTTGGGAGAATGATGTTCTGAGGTATCAATAGCTTTTTAAAACTCTAGGACCTCATATTTTCTGCTTTTCTCCAAACTAGTTTTAGGCTTGCCATTACTGCAAGTGTTAAGCTAGTATGCTGGAGTCACTTCATGTGAGCTAGCCTAGCTGTCTGTAATGGCAAACTATCCTTATGTGACTGAGAAAATCGGACGTTTTACTGTTGACATCTGTACATACTGATATTTAGGTTAAGTGGTAGCAACAGCAAAAGGTGTACTCCTGAGTATGTGGATGTCAGCTCTATATTGTGTGAGTTTCAAGCCATACCTTTGTAGCCTAGTTGTGTCAAACATACAAATAACTAACGTAGAGTTTTTCTTTATGGAGAGGAACCAAGTGATGGGAAAACTCAATAGGTCACCAATGAAACACATAAGGTAGTGCTTTTCTGAAGATCTTTTGAAAAAACATCTTAAAGCACAATGGCAAAGCTTCTGTGTGCCCAACATATCCAGGTCAAAAGTGTTAAACAGAATAAAAATTGTTTCCACTTATATTTCAATTTCAGATGAACAAAATACAGCTGTTGTTGGGACAATTGTCTTTTGTGAAACTAATGGATTATATAATGATTTTTTAGGCACTGCATTCTAGAAGTTTTTGATTGTTTTCCTCAAGGAGAGCAAAACTGACAACTTGGGAGCTATCTCTGGGTGCTTGAGCTTTCTGTGGGCCAGCTAATCCATGTACTGCTACTAGCTTATTGGCTGCTCTGTTAATGGAGATAGAATACTATTCTAACTGTACATTTCTTTGGGTTTTCACCCAGCATTTGACACCTGGATGCAGTCTAAATTCAACAACGTCAAGTTAATGTACTCTACTTGCACTCTCTTTTTTCCCTCCTCTCTTACCATATCTTCCCACACATACATCTTTGTGTTTGTCTTTTTCTTTGTTTTTTTTTTTTTTTTTTTTTTAATGCTCCTTAGTAGTTTAATTCAGTTTAGAAACTCCCCAGATATATCCCTGAAGTGAAAAATTTTGCTTTATTCCTTGGTAGCAGTAGACCTGACACATGTTCAGAGTCAAGCGTTGTGATCTATCAGTCTATTTAAGATTCCCAAGTGCATGATTTCATCAGCACATTTCAAGCTGCAGTTTCGTCAGCATAGTATCCTCTATACCAGTTAGTACTACATCTAAGCAGAGCCAGTTAAGCAGCTTTGAGTTGCCATACAATATGTCTGCACTAATTTTGGTTCTAGCACAATCTTAGGGATCTCTGCACCATCCTCCATTACAAAATATGGTCGGAGTTGTGTTCTGGCACGTGCTTTAATATTCATTAAATTTTCTCTTAATAAGATAAGGTACTTAACTCATCTTTGATGAAAAGTTCTAAACAAAATCACAAAAATAATCATTCTTGGTGAAAAGAATGAAGGTTACTCATTTTGAAAACTACAGGGATTATTCCAGTACCCTTCATTAAGATTATTCTGTTGTTTATTCAGTGGTTATACTTATACAAGTCACCAGCTTGAATCATTGTCTCCTAGTACCACAAGATCTATATAAAACATTTTTCTTTAAAATTAATATGTACAGTTTCAGTGATACATGGTAGCGATTAATGGAAGATTTCTGTCCTTAAACTGAGGATTTATTTAGCAGAGAAATTACTCTTGGCATGCCTGTCAATAAAATCCAGTCACATCCTGTTAGAAAATGTTTCAATTATTGCTAAGGGCTAGCCTCTTTCCTTCCTTTTGTTTGTAAAATCTCATTCATAAAACTGTTTTCTTGGACAGTGGTATTTTTCAGTCCTGGAAATAGCAGTTAAATATGAAACATTTGTTAAAGAGGTATTACAAAACATCACCTGTATAATTATTTTAAACCTTAGGTAGCAAATAACCAAATAGCTACATTTTTATTTTTAGAGATTTGTTCATTTAATGTCTATCTTCCATTTTTAGTTTGAATAAAAGCACAGCATTCAAAGAAGTCATAAGCAGTTACCTATAAGAGTTTTGATAAAGAAAGTAATCTACTTTAATACTGAATAGCATCATATAGCCTAATGATGGTTCTTTTCCAATTCATGTTTCCTTTAAAATTTTTCATCATTTAATTTTTCAAGGTAAGGAAATAATGGAATTATCCTTCATTCTTCAGAGGAAAACCTGATTTGATGTGTGCTCTTTAGATGGTTCTCTAGAGTCTGCTTGAATGTGCTGCAGTACAACAGAGCTTGATGTCTGCTGGTATTTTTATAAGTAGTTTGCTTATTTTATAAGTAGTTTTCACAAACTTCTTCCTCTGTCCACTTCTGTTTATTTTTCTGCATGTAAAAGATATTTTAACAAATACATATAAAAGTCTTTCTCTGAGTTTTATTTACATCAGTGTTAGAGATGAATTGCCTAGTTTTATTACATTTTTGATCTTGACCTCTGCATACTGCACTGAAATAGTGACTTGGGTGGAGTAGAGAACATGTGCTTGCCATCATCATCTTTAGCCATGGTCAGTAGAAGCACTAGGAGAGAGCTCGCTTTCCCACTAAACTGATAACTCAGGGCTCTTATTTTCCACTTCTTGTAATGGCAGTAACATGGAAAACGTTTGATATAAATATCCATTTCTGCTCTGGTTCTGTTTCCTCTTCTTGCGTGCAATTCAATGTTGTGTACAACCATAGATGCTTTTCAGGCACAGAAATTTTGTTATTGTTGTTGTTAAAGAGTTTCATTTTTAATGACCAGTTACTACTGTCCTGTCTCTTGAAGTTTACTTCATTTACTAGAGTCCTTTCACTAAAAACTGATGTCAGTGTAAATATAATACAACTCATCAATGGCAAGGTGAAAACGTAATTTCTTACAGCTTGCTTTATACGTTCTGCTTGCATGTGGTTTTCAGATTAGTTTTTTTGGAGTTATTTGTATTTTCAGAGGCACCAGGGCAGATATTTCTAAGCAGCTAATTTTTTCCAGTACTGTAAAAAAGTACACTTATTATACTTGATTTAAATTGTACATAAAAGTGCTATCTAGAAATGAGTGTAAAACAACTGGATCTAAGAATAACAGTGGCACTGTGAATAGGAAGATTTATACAAAGATACATACAAACATACAGGTTCATGCTGAGCCCTGAGCTTGTTCTCAACCATCACATTCTTTATCAGACAGCTTTATTTCTTTTTGTAGGTGGAAAATTATTTTTTTTTTAAAAAAAGTTAAACTTATACACTACTCTATGTTCTATATATTTTTGTACATCTGAGAAGATTTCTTCTTCCTTTTGCATACTGATTGTATAAAACCCCATTTTTCTAGATCTGATATTCAGGGAACCTGAATACTGCCCAAATGTAAAACTACCAAAAATACCCTACCTACCCTCATCAATGCTATGACAGGAGAGAGAGAGACCAAAGATGTACTTTAGCCACCACAAACTAAGGTTTGATTGACATTGATCGTGCTCTGCTTCCAGGGAGTGTGAGAGTTTGGCCCATTTTGGCATGTGAATTAATCCCTGAAAAGTATGGCATAATGCAATGTAAAAGAGTTTTAATTGATCAGATTAATTATCTTTACAGTTCTGCTCAAGGACATAGTTTATGGAGGTACTGTTCTTTGACAATGAACCACAAATAAGTTTATAAGAAAAAAAGAAAACATCCTTAGTTGCTAAGCTACATTTTCATGTTTGTAGCTTAACTGCTGACACTCTGGCTAGTGCATCATTATTCATCTTTTCTCCATCTATTATTAAATAAACATAGAACAAGTATAACATACATATTTGACTGCATAAAAATCCAAATCCACTTACTGACACATTAATTGTATTCTTGTGTTCTGTTCTATATGTGGATAACTACTGTTGTCCCCTCCTAGAATACAGTTTTCCAGAGCTTCATGTGTGTCCTGTGATGCCCTTATGTTCAGAGGTTTTTTTTGACCTTGTCTAAGGTGAAGCAAGTGCTTGCTACCTACTTGCTTAGTAGCATTATTAGCTGGAAACACAGACTGCAGAGATGCTATACTAGAAATTGCTTAACAAAGCAATGAAAAATGAAAAGTCCAGTTTCTTGTTTTAGAAAACACTGTTTTTTTGCCATTGTATGGGAATAGATTAGGAAGGATGCACTGGTAATAAATATTCTATTAAAGAAATTTCCTATGTGACAGCAGAAGGAGAAAAGTGTCATTAGCAACTTATCTTTGAATGTTTTACAGGCAATTTTTTTTTTTTTCCTAAGTGGCACTTTATTTCAAGTCCTTATGGACTCTTACTTGATGAG